CTCCATTATCGAACCGCTCTCCCCAACCCTTGATCCTTTGTCCAACGAGAGGGACATGAGGGGGGCATCGAGTGAGCACTTTTGGACCTGGAGGCTGAAAAACCCCGTCACCTATTGCAGTTGTGCAGTAACGCAAGCTGGTGTGCCTGTTGGTTGTATATGCGCTGGGAGACATCAGGCGCCGTGGTCCGAGACAATTAACAAACTCGTTACATCAGCATTAAAATGAGATAAAGCTCAATCTGCTACGGCACACGGCACACACACGACGAGTTAGAGGCGTCTTAAGTCAATTTCCAAATGCACGCGCCGCTGTCTAAAGGACCGTCAGAGCAAGATCGCACTTAGCTGGTTGGTCGCGGGCAGATCGTTTTTTCTTCTAGGACCCGTCGAAAAGTTTACGTCTCTGTAAGAAAAAGAAAGCAGCCGACAAACGATTCGACCGGGCCGAGAAGACCTGGTAAATCAGTTTCGAATATCTCTAGATAACCAGAAAACCGAGACCACTCGAGAGATACAGCTAAAATTTGGGAAGAAGTGTCGAAGGTGTCAAGGTAACAACCGGTTTTCTCACTCGCTATCGTGGTTTCTCGGTCGTCCCATCGGTTGTGTCGCGACTTCTTGTTTGAGGTCATTGCTCAGTTCCACACGTTTGTTTGACAAAGGAGTACACTACACTAACTAAGCACACTGTGAATCGTAGTCGTAAGTTTTAGGGGAAATGTAATGTGTGTCGTAAAATTGCAATTTGATAAAAATTCCATCAAATGTTGTAAATTTAAGAGGATATTTTTGGTAGTGGAAGCGTTTTTGTTTTTTTTGAATTCGTCCGGGAAGTACGTCCATTGCTAGCAGATTTGCTCTGCAAGTCAAGGAAGCATGGCGCCTGCGAGACTCAGGGTAGGCCACTCCGCAGAACATACATGCATTGCAGGCAAGATGTTGCCTACCTACCAGGCGTTCCAAGAGCTTCGAATGGCTGAATTTGGCAATTTCAAAACACTGCGGAATGAAGCTGAGCACAACTTCCGATCCTATGCTTGGCGTGGCAATAATCGTTGTGTTCCGCGTGGTTCCGCTTCACGGCGTAGTTCCTCTCTTGCGTGTCGTGCGAGTCGTTTTAATCAAAAAACCTGTGTCCTGTTGGCAGCCGAGTACTTCCCCACGGCGTGCGCGCGCAACGCCCCTGACCTCAACGAGTGCATCCGCAAGAACATGCAGTTTGTGATGCCGCTCTTCGCCAAGGGTGAGTGACATGTGGGTAGGCGGTAGGCCACTCTGGTGCCCGATGAACACTGCCACATACCCGACTCGTGCTGTCCGTAGGAGAGAAGCTGTTCGACATGGAGCCCATCGAACCCATCGCCGTGAGCGACGTGCGCGTGCAGCTGCGACGGGAGCCGTTCGACTTCCACGCCGTGGCGAGGAACAGCAAGGTGTACGGCGCGTCGAGCGTCGTGGTGCGCGCGGCCAGCGCCCAGCTCACCGACTCCAGCCTGGACATGGCACTCGACATCCACATCCCCACCATGTTCATTGAGGGCGACTTCAAAATCGAGGGCAAGATTGGCAGCTTCCCCTTTGCGGGTCGTGGACCCTGGAACGTGACCATCAGTAAGTACAGAAATCTGCGAGCCACGCGAACCATAACGACGTTTAAGGGTTTCTTGGAATCCACTCTAACCGACCCCTCGTGCATCCTGCAGCCGACCTGGAAGCCAACTGGCACCTGATGGGCGAGACCGTCGACAAGGAGGGTGAGAAGTACATGCAGATCAAGAGGTTCATCCCTACGTACCGAGTGGGCGGCATGAAGGCCAACGCGGAGAACCTCGTGGAAGGCGCTCCTGAGCTGAGTGAGTACTCCTCACGCACGCCGCTCGACAGGTTCGACAGGACAAACTGTGTGTGACGTACCCCTCTCTCTGTGCAGCCAACCTGGCCATGAACCTGATCAACCAGTACTGGGAGCCCGTGCTCACCGCCATGATGCCAGCCACCCGCAACGAGCTCGAGCGCCACTTGAAGAGGATGGCGTCGAGCGTGTTTGACAGCGTGCCTTACAAGCAGCTCTTCCCCGTGGCCTAAAGAGGCAGCGGTGTATGTCGTTTGTAAACACTGTGATCGTCTCTTGCCAAACAGTTTGTTCCCCATGAACATTTCTAGTGTTATCTATGTTACGTTTTGATGTTCACTTCACTTCACTGCCGCCTATTCATTGTCAACTACTTTAAAAAAATAAATCTAATGGAAAACTCACGGAGCAGTATCAAGCTGAAGCAAGACTAAAAGAACATTTTCACACCTGCCTGAGAGGAAAAATGGTGATGATGGTGGTACGGAGGAAAGAGTGGAACGAGGAGAGCTAAGGGGGGGGGGGGAGTATTCAGTATTCAGGGAGGGAGGCTTAAGGCATGTACAGGTTCAAGTGTGTGACAAAATTTTTATTTCCGTTGAAGAGACAAACGTTGGGGGTCTTACAATGTACATAAGGAAATATATTTGTACATATGCATTTAACAATAATAACAAATCATAGCATGAACGTGGCCAGACTGCTAAAATAATGCGGTTCTAAGACGGGATGTTTTTATCTACATTCACAAAAATAAATTTGGCTAATTATCAAAATTCATTTCATTAACATACATGTCTATCTCGTATGAGGAGCTCCGAACACGATCTCAAACTTAACAACGGCGGGTGATGTAGTAGTAATGCTGATGCGTTCGGTCGCAATGCCTCCACTACCATGGAACATAAAACCATACGAATGTTCAGCGAATGAGTACAGATCACCAAAGGCGTGACCGCGCGACTCATGTCAGTGTACAAATATAGATTAAACTAGTTTGCACCTCCTTAAACTCGACACGACGTTAGACACCTCTGGCAGGAACATTTTGGAGCCTTTCCTAAAAATATATATATACACATCGGCGCGCATATTTTGACACCACAAACAGTGCCTCTAGTCAAGTTTTACTTTACCATTTTTATTTTGGCACATGGTCACCTTTCCATGGTGAAACCTTATAAAAGAAGGTATGCCGGCAGTAACTCAATAAAAATTCTTTTAAGGATTTCAAATCCGAATTACCCCTAATTATTATCCTTATTCTGATGGTATACGGTCCTGACAAAATATTGTACGCCTTGTTAAAATCATTTTTTTTGACAGACTTGAGTCAGATCAAACGGGCACAAAATGTTCAAAAACAAAAAAACAAACAAAAGGCCTCCATCTTTTCGTCAGGACTGTAGACCCCCCAGCCTCCAGCTTATAATACATCCGAACCTGCTAACGAGTCTGTTAACAATAAATGCCAAAAATTGCTATAGTATATCTATATATAATATGTTTAATAAAAATGCATCAAAGTTATTGTCATGGACTTCAATTAGAGTTTATTCCATATGGAATAATAAACAAGACGGTCATACTTTGTTCTCAAGAAATGTCCTATACTTTCTAATGCAACACAAAATCTTCAAAATTGACCTTACAATCGACAATTTATTTATCCTAACTCAAAATTTCTGAAACAAATGTAAACACGCGTTTAATGATAAAGGTGCAGATAGGGCAAGAGGAAAGGTTTCTTAATAGGTTCGAAGCATATAATCTTGAGCCCAAATTAAAGCTTTAATCACGAGTAACTCCTATACGCTGACGAGGTCGTCAATTTCCAGCAGTTGGGCCATATGTATCAAATTTATAAACGCTGGTGTTTAGCAAAGATTTTCTTAATCCCCCCGAAAAATATTT